AATTTTCCTCAAACTCACAAAATTCTGTCTTGTGTAATATGAAAGGTTTACTGTAAATTCTTTTGTCATGTGAAACGCTTAAACGCAAAGCGTATCGGGTATTTTGAAACAAAATTATATATAGATTAAAAGAAATGACGTATTCTAGTAACATTCTATCTTGTTTATGTTTGAAATGATGTAAATAATTTTGTTTTTGTTTTTTTACCTTAGCTTTGTTCTACAGGTTTAGTGTTCCCCTATCCCTCTGTATCTCATCTCATCACCAGGAATACCAACAATCCTAATAATTGCATTGGATATTGATGCACTTGTTGATTTCATTCCGTGTTTTTAAATGTTACTTGTTTCACTTTTATTTTCTTTGCTTCATTTTTTTTTTTCACGTAGATTAATAGACGTCTGATTATCGGCTTATCTTTATTAATGTATATAGATATGTAAATGTATTCATGCGTTTGTCGCCTCTCAGTTATGTACGTGAATAGTGACTTAAGTGCAGTATTCGGTTATGCATGTTAAGCTACTGACGTGTTATTGTATACAACACGACAACTATGATGTTTTCAATCTACGTGGAATATCAGTATTCTTTTACTGTAAATTTGTTAAAAAAAGTATTTAGTACCGGTATAGTTCAAGACAAAAATAATATTTTGTTATAGTCTTGTTATTAGTTATTAATACTCTGATTTAACAGAGTGCTGGTACTTACATAAAAAAAAAAAAAAAAAAAAACCAGCGTTACTTTTATAACCCAGGTGTAAAGGCACAAGTGTTTTGAGACTGCCACGTGTAATATTGAAAGTTATTGTATAATATTTTAAAAATGAAAAAAAAATGCTTTAAAATACATGTGTCTACAATACTGAACATATTTTTGAGTGGGACTTAGTTTGATCCTGCTACGTTGTTCATATTCCTATGTATGCTTTACAGTCAGTATATAAAAAAACGCTGAAATGTGTATAAATAGAATCGTTTGTTGACTCGTGTATCTTTTTCGGTTACGTGTGTATGTAAGAAGGCGGTATAATGGCCAATCAAGTATATAGTATACCTAATATTAGCCTATGTGCAAGACTGGCAGTCTCTTCCTGTTTAGTCCTCGTATTGATCAGCATTGAGTGTGCATTATGCCAGATATTCTTAAAGCGCGGGAGTCTTCACCTGCGCATGTGTCAGATGGCCATAGCGTGTCATTGTTTACAAACAAGTGTCTACCTAGGAGCCTTTGCACTTTTAGCGTGTGTTATTATCGTCGTTTGGGACTCAATTCCCGCGCATGCGCAGGTGACCACCCTCCTGCTTTAATATGTATATGGAGAATGGTCGTTTGTTAATTTGTACCAGTGACTGCTGACACTTCGGAAATGCTGGGCTGTTTGAATTTTCAGTCTGTTGCATAGGTACCTTCACACCCTCTAAGCAGATATGACATACCACTGATCCCATTGGTTGTTAGAATTCTCTGATGCATCGTTAACGCAACATACAATCTCAATTGGTGTAGTGAAACATCTTACTTATAGTTGTGTAATTTGGTAAAATGAAAATCATATTTTAGAAACGAGACAAGTCAGGGATCACAATATTTTTGTTTGTGCATCAAATCACCTATTCGGTCACGTACAATTTTATCGTATCATTGGATATGAAAGGCAAGGTATTAGTGGGGGAGGGTTCTGTCCTTATTGTTGTAACCATCGTTATTGATTACACACAGTCCATTTATCCCCTGTAGTTCAATCTGTTGTACCAATGCTTGTAGCTTGTAAATAAACTGTTGACAGCTCAGATAAGTATTTCAGAAGTTGCACAATCATTAGTGTGTATGTCAGCCATATCAAAAAATACAGAAGTTATTTGGCGGATTTTATCAATTTTGTAATCCATTTAATATTAAAATATAATTAAGCTACCTTACCAATTTTGAAACAGGTTGGTATAACTACCAAACACATTGTGTGCTCGAGTTGCACCATGGGTCTATTGTGAACAACTAATGAACCATGTATCAAAATGAAAAGCACCAAAATCATTCTTGTAGCGACATTTAACTATTCTTTTAAAGTATAATATTAACATATTATCAATATTAACATAAATATTGCAAGAATTATTCTGTTGACCAATTATCCCATCATTAAGACATCGCCATTCTGATTTTATGGGGACTTTTTAATGCTTAAAATGCAAACTATTTTCAAAATTGTATATTCAACCAGCCGACCAATTTTAACACACTTTGAACTTTCTAAAATGAAAATTTGCTGTTATTTTAATAGTTTCAATAAGAATAACAGGGATAATTTGTAATTCTTTGTTTTTTCTACAGATATCTTGAGTAGTAATCATCACCTTTTTATGAAACTTAAAACGTAGTCGCTTAATAATAATAATGCACAGACCTGATTAGTTTTGGGTTGAAATCTGCGCATACTAATTAGCTAATAATATGTATAATCACATTTCAATGAAATTTAGTACATAAGTGCTCTGGGGTAACCCACAAACATCAAGCTGCTTGTTTGAAAGCCTAATCTTAAATTTTGAATCATTTTTTTTAAATATATACACTCAGAATAGGAAAGTTGTTTCTTTAGTATGACCATTCTACCACCTCGTACATGTCTACTGTGGGATCCCTGTGGTGTGACTATAAAGCCAAAATATGAAAGTCAATCATAAATATGCAAATTACTTGGTAGTTTGTAGCATGAATGCCATGAAACAACAATGGAGGTAATAGTCAATGTTTTCGTAATGTTTCAAGCGTATTTTACCTTTTTGTCACAACATTCTTTTGGTGTTCTCAGGGAACCTAGACACAATACGGGTTTTTCATAATGAATATGCAAATCAGCTCAACTATTCTTTAGAATTGATGGCCGATATCGTTGTCATAGTTGTGAAATAACAACTTGATTCAGCAATTAAGTTTCCCATTGCATTTTGCCGTTTTGTTTGTTCACCTATATTAATGGCATCCCACGTGAAACTGGAGTTTGCAATTCCCAGATTGACTGTAGATGACGTCATATGCAAGTTTTTGTATGAACTTGTTTGACCAACATATGTGATCCCGGCATTATGAAAGCGGAGGGTTCGTCACCTGCGCATGCGCGGCAAGTGTGTCCCAAGCGACGATAACAACGCAAAGGCTCATGAGTAGATGCTTGTTTGTAAATAACGACACGCTATGGCCGTTTGTAGCATGCGTAGGTCACGACTCTCCCGCTTTAATGTCACTTGGGAATTTGGCCATTTTTAACCTTTTTATCTTTAAATCAATCTGTTGTGTATTACAATGTTACAGTACAGCATCAATAGACGCCGGGAACTACTCAGTTGGTAGCCAGTGATTGCTCTAGTTCACACGCGTATGTGTTGTCAATATCTGTATGTGGACCGAAGATAATTCGATTAAATTTGATTAAAGCGGGGGAGTCGTCACCTACGCATGCGTCAGGTGGCCATAGCGTGTCATTGTTTACAAACAAGCGTTTACCCATGAGCCTTTGCGTTCTTAGCGTGGTGTTGTTATCATCGCTTGGGACTCAATTCTCGCGCGTGCGCAGGTGACGACCCTCCCGCTTTAATAATAATAACTTTATTACACAACTAAATCATCAGAGGATTTAGTAAGGTAAAGAGAATACCAAGACATAAATAAACAAACAATAAAATAAAGTCTAAAGAAATATCAAAATAATAACTTCAATATTCTCGCAACTTTTAATCAGGGGATTTATAGATAGTATCTTTAAGGTATAGTGAAAGGGCTTTTGCATTTTTCATTACCTCAAGAAAAATATCATCTGGTAAATTAGACTTGAGATCACAATCTTCAAAAAGTCTTTTCCTTTCACTTTTAAAGGAAAGACATTTAAAGATGAAATGCTTCTCATCATCAAGAGAATTTATGTTACATCTTTTACATGTTCTGTCATCTAACAAAATTTTGGTTTGTTCCGTTTCCCTAGTTCAATCTCTAGATTGTGATCACTGAATCTAAATTTACTTAACATTTTTCTAAGGTTGAAATTTATTTATATTTTTCAGATAATTTTCAAACTCGAAATTTTCCTTAAATAAACAGTACCGGTAAGTCCTAAATTTATTCCTTTCACCATCCTTACTATTTGCATTTGTTAATTAATTTTTCCAAGACAACATATAATTTTTTGTCAGTTTTAATTTAATTACTTTTAATTGATTACTGTTACTCACACTAAATTTTTCTTCACTTTTGCTAACATCATATTCCCCTAATATGTTGTCTACATGCTTAATCCATGTTGACTGTGATTTTACCGTTCCATTTAAAACAGCCTTTAGGATATTGTTACCAGACAAAGTGCTCAGTCTATACCAGTATTTAATTTGTGAGATCGAGGCCTTCAATCTAATAGGAATTCTGTCTAATTTAATACATGCTACGTGAGTATGAGCCTAATCCAGCAGTGTATGTTTATTTAAAAAGCTAATTTGCATAACTGATTGTTTAGTGGTTTTTGGTTGTTGAACATTCTGGAATTAGCCTCAATGGTTGTCGAACTTGGTGGAACCATGAAGACAGCTTTGTGGTGGAACTTATTCAGACTATGGAGTGTTGGTCGTCTCGCAGCGCGCATTCGAAATTTACGTGGGACCGTCATTGAATACAAGTACGTCGAGACGAGCGACCGTCACGCTTGGGTAATGAAAATACTCAGAATTTCTTAATTTTGCAATAAATTGTACTCACGGTCAATATATCGATATTGAGTTTATAAAAAATAGTTGTAGTTGCCAATTTGTAAACACTTTTAACATTGGTTCCTATAATGAAGAAATGTTCCATATTTGAAACTGGCAATATAGAATAAAAAAATGTATATCGTGACTAATGTTTTATAAAGTGACATAAACAGTTTCTGTAAAGTTGTGTTCTATATAGAATTTTTCTAAAATTATACATTTTTTGATAATTATTAGACTAATTTTCTCGAAAAAAACTGCAATGTAGCCCGCAAAATAATGCTGCTGTCACCATTGAACTAAAACACATGATTGTATACAGTAATCCAATGAACAGTGTTATTGATTATGACTTATGATTCGATTTGTGACCAGCTTCTCGAGTAAGTTTGTATGCCATCCAATGTACACGTGAATCATTTTCCCCTCAACAATCACGTGACCTGTAATCCTGGGTTATCATTATTAAAAAAATACACAGAGAACCAGTTTACAGCGAGCAAATACGGTGTCATCATTGTTGCAGTCGGTACCAAACTTTCACCACTCCCGTGACAACTTTATATCAAAAACTAGTTTTGGAGTCAGGTGACTGCGAACTATATCATTGATCACGTTGGTGTATTTATCAAATAGACACTCTAAAATTATTACGTAATGATGGGAGAGAACTAATAATTTATAGCGATATGTCATATTCGACGTGTACGACGCGTGTAAAAATACATTTGACGCTGCATCACGAATATGACTTGCACATGTTTACGTTAATACTTAGTAGTTTTTGATGATTGATGATTATAAGTCGGAAATGGTTATTTGGGTCTGATTCCATTGATTGATTTATGTACGTTTTATGGTCGTTTGAACTTGACACGCACAGACAAATTACCAATTATAGCTTGATATCTCTTATACTTTGAACTATAACACTAAAAAACTATCACAGAAACTACTTGACCTTGTTCGGTGCAACTCGCACGTGATCATAACTTGAGTTGTTGAGAATGAAAATTATAGCATTTATGGGTAGGGATGTCTACAGCAATAAAATATGTATATTTGTGAGGGACTAATGGTAGTATAATTTAGCATTTTCGTTGTTTCCGTGATTGAAAAAAAATGTACCGAGGCTATTATTTATTTATTCTTTAAGTTAATTGTTAGTGTTGATTTCAGAAACACTAAAATCTCTCAATTGATCGAAATCCAACGCCACATGCACCAATCGCCGAGAACGCACGTGTTTCAGTTTGTATGTAAAAGGGCTCTTGCCCAATTACCGGTGAATTGGGCAGGTGTACAAATATCAATGTTTTAGACATTTACTCTCGGATTACGTCATAAATTCCGCCTTTTTGTTACGTCATAGATTCCGCCATTTTGTTCATTCTAGTATGTACCTGATCGTGTTATAATATATCTCACCAGAGCATGCGCGGGAATTGAGTATGACGTCGCGCACTGTCTTGACCAAGCTTCTTACAAATGCACAGCCTTAGAAGTCGACGGGGCATAATCAATTTTACTTAGATATGCCTAGATAATCCTCACAACAAAATCGTAAACTGAGTATATACACAGAGGAATAAAAAAATGATAAATAACACTATTTCTCCCGTCCTCGGAACCGTTCCAAGATATAATGCAGATGACTGAAGAAATGATTCACGGACAACGATAAACACCACACGCTTGGGGGATACCATTCACGATCTCCCGACAAGACATTTACTTTGTCGGAAATCTGTACGAAATTTAACTTCAGTAGAATGTCTATCACCTCAGTAAATCTTGTAGCCGTTAGTTGATTGGCCATTTCTGTTATCTCAGTCATCACCTTGATTGTGGATGTGATGCGATAACGTCACGGGTTCCATTACATAACTCCCGATGGACGCGATAACGTCACGGGTTCCATTACATAACTCCCGATGGACGCGCAATTGCTTGATTAGACAGTAAAATGTTTTAAGTTAGTGCAGTGTCATGTGACTGTGTCGTGTTGTTGGTGTATATGGTAGGATAACGGTCTATGATATGATCGTTATCGTGGTACCAAGAAAGTAGCCTTCTTAGACAGGGCGGAACTGAGACTGAGCGATAAAACGATTCGACGCTAACCCCTAGGTACAATTGGAAATCTTTTAAATGTACACGGGGGGGGGGGGTCGGTATTATAATGTATATCATTTCCATTAGAACTGACTGTGCGCTTTCCAGTGCCATGTTTTCTTTTGAATTCATATGTTTTTTTTAACTATTCTTTTATTGCCGACAATTTGGAAATGCGTGTACATCGTACATAACTTTCTGATTTGCAAATGATGGCCGAGTGAAAATGACAAGTCTGCGCTTTGACCGGCTTATCATGGGCTTTGTATGCGGTTGAATTTTTCAGTTTAATGAATCGACCCAGGACACATTTGGGGCAGCCAAATAAAGGAGTTTTTTTTTTTTTTTAGCTCAATATCAAAATGCTCATCTTTTAGAGGGCAATATTGCGCTGAGATAGCTTACTTCGGCAATAGTGACAATCATCAAACGTTAAAATATCCCCAAAATAGTTTCGCGTTTGTCGATTTCCACAAAACGAAATGTTTGTCCGGTTTTGACATTAAATTTCAGGCATAATACAGGATCTTGTATTGAACGGAAAGAACTACGCCATTGACCCACTTAGGGAGGCCAAAAGAAAGAACTGGGCAAGAGTCCACTTAGGGAGGCCAAAATAAAGAACTGGGTGCGAATCTTCTTCAGGGTAAAACAAAGAAAGAAATGAACCCGAAACATCTTTAGGGTAGCTCAATATATGAAATGAGTTGATAAATGGAGGAAACAACTTTCATTTAGAGTAGTCAAATCATGAAAGAAATGGGAATACATCTAAAAAATCAGAATTGCGACACGTCACATAAGAAAATGGGGAAAGGTAGTAACTTGTATAACCGAATATATAAAAAGTGGTCGTTATTCAATATAACCAGGCGTTTCGGGCGTTCCATTGCCTTTTTCATTGCGTATTGCCGATGGAGAGTCATCGCCCGGAAATGTTGATTATATGGAATACGAGGAGAAGATATGTTAGATGATTAATGATATCGTCTTTATATCTTTTATCACCACCGTAACACAATCCGCTGACTATCGTGTTGCAATTATGACGCATGTAGATGTATGCAGATATTGTATGTGTGTATATTACCCCGTGTTAAGACATTCGATTATACAGCCAGCTTCAGATTTAATGCTTTGACTCCAGACTTCAAAGTATACCGCCTTGGACAAGATACAATGTGTGTACAAGCTGTGTTCACCATAGTTTCAGTTTCCAATCATTGGCAGTGTGAACGCAAAGTGTTGTGTTTACCACTGCTCCAGTTAGCTATCATTGGTAGTGTGAACTCAAATTGTTGGGTTTACCACTGCACCAGTTAGCTATCATTGGTAGTGTGATCTCAAAGTGTTGTGTTTACCACTGCTTCAGTTAGCTAACATTGGTAGTGTGAACTCAAATTGTTGGGTTTACCACTGCTCCAGTTAGCTATCATTGGTAGTGTGAACTCAAAGTGTTGGGTTTACCACTGCTCCAGTTAGCTATCATTGGTAGTGTGAACTCAGTGTTGTGTTTACCACTGCACCAGTTAGCTATCATTGGTAGTGTGAACTCAAAGTGTTGTGTTTACCACTGCTCCAGTTTGCTAACATTGGTAGTGTGAACTCAAAGTGTTGTGTTTACCACTGCTTCAGTTAGCTATCATTGGTAGTGTGAACTCAAAGTGTTGTGTTTACCACTGCTTTAGTTAGCTATCATTGGTAGTGTGAACTCAAAGTGTTGTGTTTACCACTGCTCCAGTTAGCTATCATTTGTAGTGTGAACTCAAAGTGTTGGGTTTACCACTGCTCTAGTTAGCTATCATTTGTAGTGTGAACTCAAAGTGTTGGGTTTACCACTGCTCTAGTTAGCTATCATTTGTAGTGTGAACTCAATGTGTTGTGTTTACCACTGCTCCAGTTTGCTAACATTGGTAGTGTGAACTCAAAGTCTTGGGTTTACCACTGCTCTAGTTAGCTATCATTTGTAGCGTGAACTCAAAGTGTTGTGTTTACCAATGCTCTAGTTAGCTATCATTTGTAGCGTGAACTCAAAGTGTTGGGTTTACCAATGCTCTAGTTAGCTATCATTTGTAGTATGAACTCAAAGTGTTGTGTTTACCACTGCTCCAGTTAGCTATCATTGGTAGTGTGAACTCAAAGTGTTGTGTTTTACCACTGCACCAGTTAGCTATCATTGGTAGTGTGAACTCAAAGTGTTGTGTTTACCACTGCACCAGTTAGCTATCATTGGTAGTGTGAACTCAGTGTTGTGTTTACCACTGCACCAGTTAGCTATCATTGGTAGTGTGAACTCAGAGTGTTGGGTTTACCACTGCACCAGTTAGCTATTATTGGTAGTGTGAACTCAAAGTGTTGGGTTTACCACTGCTTCAGTTAGCTATTATTGGTTGTGTGAACTCAAAGTGTTCGGTTTACCACTACTTCAGTTAGCTATTATTGGTTGTGTGAACTCAAAGTGTTCGGTTTACCACTACTTCAATTAGCTATTATTGGTAGTGTGAACTCAAAGTGTTGGGTTTACCACTGCTTCAGTTAGCTATTTTTGGTAGTGTGAACTCAAAGTGTTGTGTTTACCACTGCACCAGTTAGCTATCATTGGTAGTGTGAACTCAAAGTGTTGGGTTTACCACTGCACCAGTTAGCTATCATTTGTATTGTGAACTCAGAGTGTTGGGTTTACCACTGCTTCAGTTAGCTGTTATTGGTTGTGTGAACTCAAAGTGTTGGGTTTACCACTGCACCAGTTAGCTATCATTGGTAGTGTGAACTCAAAGTGTTGGGTTTTACCATTGCTCAAGGTAGCTATCATTGGCAGTGTAAACTCAAAGTGTCGGGTTTTA